AAATGCTAACCTCTGCTTCTTCTACTATGTTAATTGTGAAAAAGGAGACATCTAACTTTGAGACCATCAGAGAAATGGAAAAATAGTGGGGTATTAAATGGACACAAAATACATTTTCCCTTCATTAACAACAACAACACAAATATTTACTGTACAGGCCCCTGCCTCATTTCCTCTAAATAAGAAAACCTCTCTATATATCCTTAAAACTAGTTGTTTTCCTATTCTGCGTTGCATAGATTTTGTGGAGAGCGATCTCACCATCATTGTACCTCTACCCCATTTGTGAAGAAGACTAAAAGGATCCTTCAGGGCTGAAATGCGAGCAAATTTGTGTTTAGGTGCGCCAGCCCCTCGCACTTCAGGAGAAACACTTTTTCCTCCCAAAGTTTCCTCCCATTTTAGGGGACAGAAAAAGCAATGGAATTTTATAATCATACATTAAAATTTGAGAAATGTTTCATCACTAGCTTTGCATTAAAAAAATAAAAAAAAAAGCCTTCATTAAGGTCACTGACATTTAATGAATTATGAAGTGGTTCTTTCAGAGCTTCCCAATCTGGTTATCTTACCAGCCTCATTAGGATTTTTTTCATCTAGAATACCAACCCTTTGATAATATCTACTTAGTCTGCTTTCCATCTGACAGCTGTCACATAGCAATGAGTGGAACATTCTAAGATTTTTACTGCTGAGGATTTTCTTTGCATCATTATATTTTATGCTCTGCAAACCTTACGCCCAGTGCAATATTTAAGAGACGCCCTTGGCCAGTGTGGTCATAATAAGCGTAGCATGAAAGAGCTAACCTAATTATTGCAGTGGTTTTGAAGACCAGACCTTGTGTATAGCACCATTTACTGATCGTCATAAGACRGAAAACTGGAAGAGTTCATTTTTTGCATACTAAGCAGCCAACAGGCTGTGGTTAGTGACACAGTATCTTTATTAATAGTTTGATTTATTAATTGTCATTTATATATATAAAAGTTACACATTAATATGTCAGAATATAGATAGTAACTGATTCATAATACATTGCAAGTGCATTAAACATTTTCTTTATCTACCAAATAAGACCTTATCCACTACCAAAYTGTACTTTTATATACTCCATCACGCAATCCCCATATGACATAGCATATAGATAACACTGTATTTGTGTTTATTGAAGCACTATTGCATYGATAACACTATGCAATAGGGCTTCAAGAAAGCAACCACAAATAAACAGAAAGCACAGCCACCARAAGCTATGCTGCCATTTTCTTCAAATGCCTATCACCAAGTGTTCCCTATAATTTCATGAATTCCATCAATATCAGTATCTTTAAAGGACATACTAATAAACAGGCATTGCTTATGCTCACACACCCAAAATCCACACTTCCAGAGTTACAGCACAGCCACTCTAAGTCCAAATAAGCTCACAACAAAATTGTACAAATTACACACCTCTGCATTACTTTTTACAGCTGATTTGCAGAATAAAGAGTTGAAAAACATCATCAGACCTCTGAGAAAGCAAGAGGAAGCACTCTGAGCTTGGAAGGAAAGGGGGAAGCAAATGAAGACAGCTGTGGGTCCTGGTTGGCTTCCAGGGCATAGATTTCTAGAGGTGACAAGGGGTCATTTTTAAATGCAGCTTGCTGGGACTTGTGAAGCAAGAAACAAAGGAGCTGGCTGGTGTTCACCTGGCATGGAATTGGCTAATGCTGCATGGAATTGAAAGTGCAGCTACTTCAAATAAATAAATTCAAATGATAAATTAGGTATTAATGAGCGAGAGCGGGCAATACTTTTAAAATGCTCCATTTTGAAGGGAAAACTTTCAGAAGTGTTTGGCAACCCTTTGTTTCATTGAAGTAGGGCTGCAATTCRGCTGAAATGAAACCACCCAACCACTTCTGAGCATTTCAGACTGAATTTCTTGAAATCAGGTTTTTCCTGTTTACTATTAAATAGTATTGACAGAGTTCTAACACTAGTAGCATAATCCTCATAATTTTCTGGAACTTTTTACATATCTTGATGGTTCTCTGGCACACAAATATGTATTCTTTCATTTAGCACTTGTACAGATTTTAAATAAATTACTATTTATAGAGTATTTAAACAACTACAGAGCAATAGGTGGGGAAAATCCACAGATTTCATTGATTATTTGACAACAGAATGTACTGACTGTGTAGTATCCTAGATTAAATTACCATTATGCTGAGCATGAAGCAGTCCTGAATAAATAACTGAATCACAGTCATCCTTAGCCAGGAGACCTGCAAAGACTTAAAGTCATCACAAAGGGAACTAACAAAATCAGGAAGTCCTGTCCTTATCTATACCAATATCCTAATATAATTTAGTAGAGCAAAGATGCAAGCAAAGGAAAACTTGTTTAACAAACACCAAACTCCACTGGAGAAAGCCCAGGAAGGCATTTTCCGCAGTTATCCAAAACCAGAAGCTCCACCTACTGGTTCAGATTAATTATTAATCCCAACAGTGCTCCCAGAACCTGCAGTTTTAGCCCTAACACATAGAGAACTACTGCTTCCACCTTGCAATARGCAAGGATAATCTTTCACAACATTATTTTAATCCTACTCATAAAGAAAAAGCAAAGTCATATAAATATTAAGTCTATTTCCYTGAAGGACCTATAAATCTTCAATATTTACCTTGGATACAATTTTTAAATAAAGGCTTATTGGCAGCTCTACAATGCTTCCTCAAACCCCATTTTCAATTTGGCAGAAAATCAGTAACACTCACCAAAGATAAAATAGGTGTTTATCATTTAACAGCATTATTATAAACCAAAATCCCAACCAAACGCACAGCAACACAAGTTGACAAAGGGAAGAGGGTGGTTAATCCAAGTCATTAAAGTTGGTAAAACATTATTCAAAGCCAGAGGGCAAAAGCAGCAATTCAAGTAGTGTGTAAAAGGCTCTGCCAGTATCTTCTATACTCAGATGTGTGTTGTGCAATGRGCAGCCACTCTTAAATCAGTTTTCTTCCCACCCTTTGCCCACTAAAGCCAGTCAAGTGATTCATACGTGGCACTTCATGCCACTTCCCTTCCTCCTTTGCACCGCGCTCCTCTGCCCTGCACTTGACTCCCCGGCGCTGCTCCGACATGGACCCACTTTTATGGGAGCAGCGGGCGCTGCCGTCGGCTCTGCCCAYGCGGCCCTGAGCTCGGCTGCGCTCGGAGCGGCTCAGTGGGGCCGCAAATGCTGCTCCTGCTCCGACTGATACCAGGAACTTTTCTTTGGAAGCTGGCTCATAAGTGGGACTTCTCCCCCGCCGCCCCAATCACTTCCTTCCTACTCTTTTTCCCCGCACCTTTGAGTTATCTGGCCAGTTATCTTTTCATTTTATACACCATAATTTCAGTAACAATACATCTGCTCATGCCACTCAAAGTGTTAAACTGTCATTGAAAAGTCCTCACGAAATAATACAACAGAAAGGGGATCCTTTTAAATGAATTCCAGCAGACTTTCAAGCTGCATAACATCACATTTGGCATCTTTTGCTAGACATTGAATCCTCTTCCCAATACAATTCTAGCATTCCTTTTATGTTAGAAAACATATTTGCAGACTCCTTCACTCCGAGTTGAACTGTGTTCATTTTGAAGTTAATTTCAAACCTCAGATTGATAAATGCTTCTGCAATAAGTGAGTAGAAGAGCAACAAAGCTTCCAATTAAACCATGGTTATTTGGTCTTGAATTGCCAGTGAAAGAGCAAATCTCAGCACATTTCTTAAAAGAATTTGCACAAGTCACAAATATAATCAAATAAATCYGAAACTCGCTCAGCATTCATCATCTCTGTCCTTTGATGTTTTCCCACAAAGCTACACAAGTTTCACTTCTCAAAGTCTTTTCYAGCATAATGGCATCCATTCCTGATGGAGCGCCTATTTGCACTGAATTTTAAAACTTAGAATTTGTAAGAAAAGAACATATGACTTGTGTTCAATATGTCATTTGTGCTTTTTATGATTCCTATTATATACTTGGTGGATAGTTCACAAAACTCCTATAAATTTTAAATATTTGTAGAAACTGCAAATATACCCAAATATACTAGGACAGACACTTACATCAAAATAACTGCATATGTAACTTGCCCAGGCAAAATTGATATTTGATCTACAAATAAATATTCCGCTACTCTTCCAAATCAGCATACCAAATATATATTTTCATTTTTAAGACATTATTGTAGTGTATTTTTTAAAAATATATACAGGCCCATATCGCATATTCAGCGCCAGAATTATATCATACATTGTGTACTCAACAGCATACTGGTCATTGGGAACACTGGAGTTCAGTAAATTCTAGACACATCCCCGACATACCTTTCCTCTTTCAAGAAGGACAGACATGAAGAAATTAGCTTGTTTCCCTAAAGTTYGTTACCTTATTTGCCAAAGACCACCAAACAGTTACAATCATCAGATGTGACCAGCTTGGGTCAAATCGATTTGAACCTATAACCTCATATGAGCAACTCCTTATCTCATTTCCAAACCTCTTGACCCATTTACCAGGATTTTTTTTTTTTTTTAAATCCAAATAGATGATCTGTTGCTAGTATTAATCCAAAAATTCAATCTATCCCTTTTCATTTTCATTTCATCCCAATAAAACATCTCTACAAAGAAAATAATAGACTTCCAGCTGTGTAATTGCAAAGAATAATAAGCAGAATATAAAAACTCAAAGATGAAATGCACAGTGAAGTTCCCCTTCTGGGTCCATGATACAACATTCTAAAACATTTTTACCATTAAAAAGTTTATCATTTATATTCTAGATGAAACTTTTTAAATGTCCCCATACATTGAAATCACCTTAAAGCTACAAAAAGGTCTTTAAATCACAAGGCAAGCAATATATAAGCAATATCAGACCATGTATGTGGAAAATGGACAGTTTTACAGTCAAACAGAAAGAGATACAGAACACAAAATTTACTTACATGTACCCATTCTTTTTTGTCCATAGTAATTTCATCCTGTTGATAAAAACAATAGATATAACTGAAGAGAATGAAGCAAATTTATAACTAGTATTCCTTCATGTTCAGTTCTTTCATGCGTTCTGCTAAGGAGGAGTCAAAATAAATAGACTCAGGCAGATGGATGAAAGATCTCAATAGAATAAAAGACAAAATAGATCTGGAATTTTCTTTTTACATGATGCAGTCATCATCATATGAAAATGCTTCATTTAGGGCCCCTTATGATTTAGCATTTAGGCTTTTAAAAAAAAAAAAATGCCACAAACATGTCACAATTCATCAAACTCAAAACCAAAGCGGATCCACCAAAACAATGGCAGGAATTTACTTAAATTTCCTCTCTAAATCCTTGCTGCTTTAGATATATATATATATATAGATAGATAGATACATATATAAAAACAGAGACACTGACCAGCAATATATGAGGTATTGAACAGTTATCATGGTAAGGACAGTTGTACCTAGTAAGGCTTGAATGATCTGCAGCACAATCAGAAACCCTAGATGACAAAATATCAAGTTAAGCCATGACTAAGCTTCCTTTTCCCCTTAATATCTCTGAACTTGAACCTGTGTGGTCTAGCCCGTAGCTACGCTCTTTGCTTTATTATATCTTAGATCTCTAATAGGAAGAATGTTTAAATCCAGCTTCTGTTATTTAACACAGAAACAGACCTTGCGGAAGAGTTTAACTCAAAACTGAGGTAAAGAGTGTATACTTCTCTGTTCTTGCAATATAAAGATCGACTGGTTAACATACAAGCATACCTGCCGTTTTACTTCATATGTCCAGTGCCACTTTCAGACTCAAGAAGAAAAATTTGCCAGTGATAGCAGTGTTCAGCACTACAACCAGAAAAGRCACCACATGCACTTTCAACCTATACCAAATGTAAGTATGAGTTCTATCCATAAATCTGCATATGCAACAGTAATTTCACAGTTACTGTAAGAGATGGTGCTCCCAGTCTCATTTTTAAATTGCCTTGTTCGAAATGAAACCATCAATCACCAGACCCCTAGCATATTTCACAAAATTATTTGATCTTTCCCATTAAAAATACAATTAAAACATGTCATTCCTCTATACACACTGTATATGTATGCACAGGCATGATCTATTGGTACAATCACAACTTTCTGACTTTAGGGAAATTGCAAAGCTTCATTAGAAAGGAAGAGACAGAGAGCTCTGGCAGCATTTAGATCTTTAGGGGGTCATTTATGCTGTAATAAATTTCATTTTTTCATCTGAAAAGTACAGTCTAAACACTGTAATAGAGTAATACAAGGTATTTATTTTACTTCATTTTTCTTCAGCTGAAATGTTAGCAAGGGAGTGTTTTTGAACTTGGCAGGCAGCCAGTCAGCCATTTCTCACTAAATAATGTGAACCCTGTCCTGCAATGTAAAGCTGTACATCTTTCCAAAAAAGTTCAGTGCTTTGCTGGACTGCAGCAAATCTTGGCTTGCAAAGCAGCTGCAGAAGGCTCCATAGCAAGCAGCTTGGCAGTAAGCTCCAAAGCACCTACAGTAGTCATAYCTGCTATGGGGGTATGACTAAAATTCATTCCATTTTAGATTAAATGACACTGGCACAAAAAAGTTTTTGCCTTTACACAGGAAGAAAATCAGAAAAAAGGCAACAGTGTGCAAGCACATGTGAGTAGCCAAAGGAACCGGCTAACTGTGACCCTTGTGCTAAGACAGTGACCACCCCTTATGTGTAAAACACATCAAAGAGAAAGTCTAACTTACAAAAACAGATAATCAGGCCTTACTTACCTCAGCGTATCAGATGGTATCACAGAAGAGGAAGATTTACAAACCCTGCCAGACTTGCTGCCCCCAAACAAGCCCATCACTGCACACACTGCTCCTCCAGCCCCACCTCACACTTAGCTTAAAGGCTGCAACGAGGCCCAGGTGTTTGGGGAGGACTACCTGCTTCGTAGGACAGAGCACAACAGAGCTAATCAATGTTTGCGAAGGCCTTCCAAGCAGRGAATAGCTTTAGAAGCTTTACCTTGCTGCCCAACACTTCCTTCTTGGTACTGAAGCCATGATCTGCTTTCCTCAGCATGCTCCGAGTAAGACAGGAAACAGCAGATTTTAGTTAGCATTTCCTACAGTTATCAATAAACATGTGAAAGCTGAAAGGTTTTATAGTTGTCTTACACAGAAAGACTCAAGTTGAAGACACATAGACAACTGCCCTAAGCTCCAGGCTTTGCAGGCCGCAGCCTCCGGTGCGCTTGCGGTGGCTCTTGCTGTTCCCCTCCCTTGGGCTGSAGTTTGTCGGCAGAGATGGGGCCGCGGGGACCCGGAACACAGCGTTTCACCTTTTATCCCCTGGTCCCTTCAGCGGCTAGCACTGGCCAGCAATATTTTGCTTTCTCAGTAATGTCATAATAACCTAAATGGCATTCTGGCAGGTTTCAGTGTTACAACTTCTGAGATTAATTTGCTTGCTTAGGTAAATTCATTGCACGGGCTAAATCTCGACTAGGCCTTGCAGCACTTGAAAGGGCACGTCCATTTTCAGAACAGTTCCTGAGTCACGACTGGCACAAAACCAAAATAAAATAACGCCCATCTTTTATCACTTTATAAAAAGTGGCAACATTCCCACAAATCTGCTTTGTCTTCATAACAATGCAGCTCCTTTCTGACTGAGGCTTTAAGGCCTGTTTCTAATTAGCTTATTCCATCTTGGGGGTTTCTTTTCCCCTGGGACCTTAGCATATTTTGCTGGGTCCCATTCTCATGTTTTTATCAGAGCGTAGCCTGCTGCAAGACCCGGAATCAATGGCCCAAATTCACTGTTTGGATTTAGAGCTGTGTTTCTGAGTCCACACTAGTATTTAATTGCTGATGCTATTAATGTAACTTGATACCTCTTCATTTGGAAAAAGTTAGTTGGCAAGCACAGGCAGATATGCTGGACTGATTAATGGATATTCTATGACATTAGAAGTTTAAGAAAGCATTTGGTTAGTGCAGCTAATGCATATCAATATTCTTAAYTCTGCAGAAGCACCAGCTTCGTACTTTACGCTTCTCTCAGCATTGTATAAAGAAAAAATATGTGAAGAAAGTTGCTGAGTAACTATATGTATTCATACCCATATAATACCTTCTTGATGGAAAAAATTTGAAAGCACCCACAAAAACCAAAATCTGTAGTGCTAACATGTCACGTGTGAATGGCAAGAGACGTTTTCAGGGCTTACGGCAGTGAGGAACATCTGCTGCACGTGGAAACCACACCAAAACGGCTTTTTAAATAGTTTTCTTGGCAATAATGTACTCTCAATGAACTCATATTTAGACATTAAGATCTTCTTCATGAAGTAAACATAAAAGCTTTTTAGGGATACAGTGCTCTTCATAGATGAAAGACTGACACACAGGCAAGTTCAACAATTTACCCTAGGTCTCATACCAATATAGCAGCAAAGATTAAAAACAGAAGAAAAMCTCTGAACTGATGGCATATTGCTGATCTGTTTGAACCTTGCTTTAATCCCATACATGAAATACATAATACCAATGATGTATGTAGGAAGAATTTTTCATGTTTCTAATTAATACAACTAAGTAATAAAAATTATAATGACCCAGGTGAAAGAATACAGATTTAAAAAAGAAAAATAGCTATCTCTGCAGTGAACATAAAATCCCTCATAGAGAAACATTATTTCAAAACTGAGGGTGTAGTTTGAACATGAGATTTGTTATCATAACAGAGGAATGAGATATCCCTTACCTAAGTAAGGGATTTTTTAGGGAAACCTAAGTAGGTTTTGGCAGAAACCTTTGGGTTCTGCCAAAACTTCTTGTATGACTGAAAGAAAAAACATTTCTCAGTGTTTCAGTGTCCAGTTGTTTGGATTGTTCCATTTTCTGCCATCCCGCTTTGACCTCGCTGTATGTCGAAAGCAGGCAAAGCATTAAAGTGAAGAGTGACTATGTATATATATCTTCATACCTAGAACAATTGTTTTAGGATGGCACTTTTGATACAATCAATAATAACATTCTTAGAGTAGTAAGGCAATGCCTCGCAGTAATGATAGAGACAATATTTCACATCATTATGATGAGGCTTGATTAGGATATGTATGGGAATAATGCACAGTTGGGAATAGCCTTGTAAGATTAATGGAAGATTCACCAGCTAATTTGTCATTATAGTAATTATAACTATATATAAACTGTTCCTTAAGAACATCTTATAATGACATATTATCCCTTCAGACTTACAGGCATTCCACAGGCATACATGAGGGCAAAACTTCATCCTTCTTGAATCTCACCAAAAACATCCAGATAATTTCTCCTCCCTTCTCATATTTTTTTCTAAAAATATCATTAGTAGGAAAGCTCTTACTGTTTTTTAAGAAGAAATATCCCTGCATTGTTTAAATCATAATCAGTTCAGACACCGCCTTTCTCACCGCCTGGGAGATGATGATCACTTTTACATTGCACCATTACGATGTCATCCAACAAGACAGCAAATATTGCAGATTAATGCTGCCAAAATTGGAGTAATTACTCTCTAAAAAGTGACAGGCATATTATTAAGGCCATATGGCATTATACATAGCTGCTGTAATAACTAATCGGAAACAACAGTATTTCTAGAGCATGAATGTTTGGCAACATATACTTGACTGAGTCTTAGTTTTATAAATATATGTATTTCTTGCCAGGAAACCAAGGAAACCACCTTAGACCAAAGTCTTAAGAGAGAAATCACATCTCCTTTGTAGCAATACAAATTATTTGAGGTAAAAGTGACGTCTATTTGCTAGTCACTAAGACCAAGAATGGTCATTATAACCCTTAAAGACAGGGTAGCAAATTCTTTCTGTTAATTTATTTTTATTTATTTATATTTTGACTGCTGAATGAAAGTGTAACTCATGTCTAAGTGATGCAAAATTACCTATTATGCTTGACCTTCTTGGGAAATGCTGGGACCTTCATCACGCTGAGCATGGTGAACTAGAACAGCACGACTTTCTTGTGCAAACAGGACACCTGTGGCTGCAGTACAGGTGCATTTCTGCTCTGGCTCTTACGTGAGTGGAAGAGATTCACGTAGCAGTAGTGAGCTGATGCTTCAGATGAGTCTTGCACTATTCTCCATAGAAAATTGCTTCTGAGAGAAGTCTGATAACACCGTAATGCTACAAATACAGAAGGTCCTCTGTGTTTGGGTACTCTGCAGCAGTAACAGGCTGCGGGCACATTGCTCAGCACTGCTGCAGAGACAACAGCAGCTCCGCTGCTCGTGGCGGGTCTGAAAGTTCTTCTTGGAAGTCTGCTTTGGTGGCACTTTTAGTCCAAGATGTAATGAGTAGCTGCTGTTCCACTTGAGCAAGCTGTCAGGTTAGATATGTTTCTGCRGTGATGCTTCTGGCATAGCCTGTTTAATGCGTATGCAGTACATGTATTCAAGTAAAATAAAACTGAAATAAAATGTGCAGTGAGTGTGTGAGCTGAAAAACCTTCTGCCATTTTTATTACCAAGGTTGATCACCTTGAGTGTAAAGTTGCATTTCCCTAGAGCAGGAGAGGCCTCAGGTATTTAGAATTGTAGCACTAGTACATCCCAGGTTCCTGGAGGGATAAGCCAGAAAATAYAAGGCTGCATGTCTGTCCCCTGTGTGAGTAAAAGGCAGAGTAACAGCTGGACTGTAATAGTTGCAGCCTAGGAAGAGAGAGAAGACATATTATGCTCTTCTTGCAGATGTAGACTAACCTGTAAGAAAAATGGCCTAACCCTACRTGGGAAGCCAAGTGAAAAAGAGATCCAGACCCCACGGAGATGAACAGTCATCTGTGGGTTTCACTCTTCTTTGCACAGGTACATGGAGGTTTCTGCCAGCTTTTAGCAGCTGATGACCAGAAAATGATATAGATTCTCTTATACAACTGGCATAGGAATCAGATGGAGTTAGGGAGAGTTGCAGGTGATTCTATAGGAGTTTAAATGACCTAGAATCATAGGAAGGCTTTTCTTATCCAGCATTATTTTTCTTGTCCCTTTTAGAGACTTGTACTGAGCACCTTCTATTGCTGAAAGTGGGGCTAAACCCTTAGCTCATATAAGATCCTAGTTTCTACTAGTTTTCTTTTTACTTCTTTTCTAGTTTCTTTACTAGTTTCTATCTAGTTTCTATCTTCTTTACTAGTTTCTATCCTAGGTTTCTTCTAGTAGGTTCTAACTGCACAACAACCTCYCTCTTCCATCTAGAGACGTATGAAAAATGCTTAAATAAGGCAGAGCAGCTTCTGTTACTGTTTAGCAGGTGAATACTTTGTGTGCTGCAGGGCATGATGAGACAGGGAGGGAAAGAGCAAACAAGATTGCAGGAGCAAGGACATCTGCTGCTTAAAGACAAATTTGGTGTAATTGGAGTAACTGAAATGTGGCCAGTTCAGGAAATAGGCTGTAATATTACATTACCCAGACACAGAGTTTAAGGACAGGCGATGTTTGATGAGAAAGGAGAAGGAAATATGACAGTAGAAATGAGGAAGGACATTATGCTGAAAACAGAGCAGTCACATGGATAGCAACTCAGAGACACCTTGAGCTGGAGGCTAAAGACTGAAGTGATAAAACAATTAGAATAGAAAACAATTACTGGCCTCCCAGGGCTAGGTGCAAGACAAATCAGAAATATTTATGCAAATGGAAAACTGTACCAGGGCTAGAACAGTGATCATAGGAAACTGCAATTACTCTGACATTGCCTGGAATGAGAATTATGGAGGGACGGACGAAGCAGAAGCTGTATTTATTGACCTTTTTTTTT